CGCATCTCTCTCTCTCTCTGCTCGCGTCTCTCTCTCTGCTCGTGTCCCTCTCTCTCTGCTCACGTCTCTCTCTCTCTGCTCGCATCTCTCTCTCTCTGCTCACCTCTCTCTCTCTCTCTCTGCTCACGTCTCTCTCTCTCTGCTCACGTCTCTCTCTGCTCGCGTCTCTCTCTCTGCTCACCTCTCTCTCTCTCTCTCTCTGCTCGCGTCTCTCTCTCTCTGCTCACGTCTCTCTCTCTCTGCTCGCGTCTCTCTCTCTCTGCTCACGTCTCTCTCTGCTCACCTCTCTCTCTCTCTCTGCTCACGTCTCTCTCTCTCTGCTCACGTCTCTCTCTGCTCGCGTCTCTCTCTGCTCGCGTCTCTCTCTGCTCGCGTCTCTCTCTCTCTGCTCACGTCTCTCTCTCTCTCTGCTCGCGTCTCTCTCTCTCTGCTCTCTCTCTCTGCTCGCGTCTCTCTCTCTCTCTCTCCTCAGTCTCTCTCTGCTCACCTCTCTCTCTCTCTCTCTGCTCACCTCTCTCTCTCTCTCTCTGCTCACGCCTCTCTCTCTCTGCTCGCGTCTCTCTCTTTCTGCTCACGTCTCTCTCTCTCTGCTCGCGTCTCTCTCTGCTCACGTCTCTCTCTTTCTGCTCACGTCTCTCTCTCTCTGCTCACGTCTCTCTCTGCTCACGTCTCTCTCTGCTCACCTCTCTCTCTCTCTCTCTGCTCACCTCTCTCTCTCTCTCTCTGCTCACGCCTCTCTCTCTCTGCTCGCGTCTCTCTCTTTCAGCTCACGTCTCTCTCTCTCTGCTCGCGTCTCTCTCTGCTCACGTCTCTCTCTGCTCACGTCTCTCTCTCTCTGCTCACGTCTCTCTCTCTGCTCACGTCTCTCTCTCTCTGCTCACGTCTCTCTCTGCTCGCGTCTCTCTCTCTCTGCTCTCTCTCTCTCTGCTCGCGTCTCTCTCTCTCTGCTCATGTCTCTCTCTCTCTCTGCTCGCGTCTCTCTCTCTGCTCGCGTCTCTCTCTCTCTGCTCACGTCTCTCTCTGCTCACCTCTCTCTCTCTCTCTCTGCTCACGTCTCTCTCTCTCTGCTCACGTCTCTCTCTGCTCGCGTCTCTCTCTCTCTCGCTCACGTCTCTCTCTCTCTCTGCTCGCGTCTCTCTCTCTCTGCTCTCTCTCTCTGCTCGCGTCTCTCTCTCTCTGCTCACGTCTCTCTCTCTCTCTGCTCGCGTCTCTCTCTCTCTGCTCACGTCTCTCTCTCTCTCTGCTCGCGTCTCTCTCTCTCTGCTCACGTCTCTCTCTGCTCACCTCTCTCTCTCTCTCTCTGCTCACGTCTCTCTCTCTCTGCTCACGTCTCTCTCTCTCTGCTCACGTCTCTCTCTGCTCACGTCTCTCTCTCTCTGCTCACGTCTCTCTCTGCTCGCGTCTCTCTCTCTCTGCTCACGTCTCTCTCTGCTCTCTCTCTCTGCTCACGTCTCTCTCTCTCTGCTCACATCTCTCTCTCTCTGCTCACGTCTCTCTCTGCTCTCTCTCTCTCTGCTCACGTCTCTCTCTCTCTGCTCACGTCTCTCTCTCTCTGCTCACGTCTCTCTCTGCTCTCTCTCTCTGCTCACGTCTCTCTCTCTCTGCTCACGTCTCTCTCTCTCTGCTCACGTCTCTCTCTCTCTGCTCACTCGTCTCTCTCTGCTCTCTCTCTCTGCTCACGTCTCTCTCTCTCTGCTCACGTCTCTCTCTCTCTGCTCACGTCTCTCGCACCTGTTCTTCTTAACACTAGAAAACCCAACCGAAATTGGCCCCTGTTTTGAGAACAGGGAGCTAACTTGCTAGGTTGGCTGCTAACATTTGCATGTATTGATTTGCAAATGTAGGTAATGACTTATAACAGCAGGGGGCTGGGGTGGGCTTTGTTTATTCGTGTGGGGGAGGGAGAGCTGCAAAGCAGAAGAGATGCCATGGCAGTGCTGTGTACCCTGAGAATGCGCTGTATATATTTTGTAATCAGTTTTTCTCAGTGTCTTTGGTGCATTTTTCACATAATTCTTCACATTTTAACAACAGTTAGTGCATTTCTCAGAACAATGAGTGCAAACTGCAAAACCTCATGGATAACCTGCTAAAAAGTCACTTTCTCAAAATGAACTTAATTCCTCAAAAGAAAGTCTTCATGTCAATGAAACGGTCTGTGTCTGTGTCCTGACATCAGTGTTTATGAACAACAGTCAAATGATTTAGTCATGTTTTCATTGTGACTGTATTTAGTGATACATATGTATGTACTGTATGTTCACATATTTACTGCTTATGCTCTTTGCAATTCTACAGCATTCTGCAACAAAAATAGTACACATACAGTATTTACGTAGAAAAACATACAAAAAATCATTACGGTAGAACCTCCACAACGTTGAGTCGTGTGTGACATCATCGCGGCAGTTTCTCCTTTGAACACTTTACAAATGCTTTTGGACATGTATCAGTTACTTTCATACAGTTCTCTGCTGTTTTATAACATTAACATTTGCTTCTGTCCTGTCAATCAGAATGAAACATACTTTTCACGACTGAATAGTTTCTGTAAAACCAGTAGTCCTCATTTCATCGCTTTGGTCATCACATACAAAACTGTAAGGTGAACAATTTTGAGTTGTCGTTTTTACAGTTCACCGAGCTCTCTCTCTCTCTCTCTGCTCACGCCTCTCTCTCTCTCTGCTCGCGTCTCTCTCTTTCTGCTCACGTCTCTCTCTCTCTGCTCGCGTCTCTCTCTGCTCACGTCTCTCTCTTTCTGCTCACGTCTCTCTCTCTCTGCTCACGTCTCTCTCTGCTCACGTCTCTCTCTGCTCACCTCTCTCTCTCTCTCTCTGCTCACCTCTCTCTCTCTCTCTCTGCTCACGCCTGTCTCTCTCTGCTCGCGTCTCTCTCTTTCAGCTCACGTCTCTCTCTCTCTGCTCGCGTCTCTCTCTGCTCACGTCTCTCTCTCTCTGCTCACGTCTCTCTCTCTCTGCTCACGTCTCTCTCTGCTCGCGTCTCTCTCTCTCTGCTCTCTCTCTCTGCTCGCGTCTCTCTCTCTCTGCTCACGTCTCTCTCTCTCTCTGCTCGCGTCTCTCTCTCTCTGCTCGCGTCTCTCTCTCTCTCTCTCACGTCTCTCTCTCTCTCACCTCTCTCTCTCTCTCTCTGCTCACGTCTCTCTCTCTCTGCTCACGTCTCTCTCTCTCTGCTCACCTCTCTCTCTCTCTGCTCGCGTCTCTCTCTCTCTGCTCACCTCTCTCTCTCTCTCTCTCTGCTCGCGACAGTAATCTGAACTTAAAAAAGTAAGTTTTTACAGACTTGAAATTTCCAGTAACTTGAATTTAAACACTTAGTTGGCAGAACTTGGAAAACTTAACTGACACAACTTAATAAGTGTAGTTCTTCAAAACTTGAAGAATTAAGTTAATGCCTTCAACTCAAAAATCCTTCGCAGCTGGTTGCTTTGAAATTTTGAGTTGAACTAACTTTATCTTTTTTACAGTGTGCATGGACCAGAAGTCCAATTAAAATAATGGACAATTGCTCCTGCAGCCCTGAACAGGACATGCGAGGTGCGCGGTTTCGGGCGGGTTGGATGCCTCAAAAATATGAGTCATGTCAGGTGCGGGTGGGTCGGGTCAGAAAGCTCCTGATCCCTATATAATATAATATATGTGAGCCACGGTATGGGAGTCCCTTGAGTACATTTGCAATCGCGCAGGGAGGCTGTTAAACAAAAAAATCATGCTGACAAACAGGATCGCTCCTTCCTGACTCCCCGCTTAAAGCCTCAGAACACAGAGGCACCGAGACTGATGACGGTGTGGGCCTCACAGCAGAGGCCTAAAAAGCAGGGGCCTCATTACTTTAATACTTACAGTCTGTGGTAAATACACGGGCTACATGTGGTACACGTGCTTAGACTATATTAATATTGTATGTGTAACATTCAAAATAGATTGAGTGAATATTCCCTTTTCCTCATTTAGTGATTTGCGGAGGAGAGGAGAGGAGCAGCGAGAGAAGTTTGGCAGTTGAAATAAATGAATTACAGCTTGCTAAATTATTTGAAAGCATCTTCATTATGATTGTTATATTTATGTATTTATTATAAATGTTAGAGATGCCAGAGAAAAGGCGTCTGCTTTTTTTCTGAGTGGGAGGAGACACCAGCGGAGCCAATAGTTTCTCTTTCCATAACGATATTCTCTCTTTTTGGAAAGATCACCAACGTGATGCAAAAGTTTACGTTATATGCAGTAGTTTTAATGTCTGCGGGTTTTCCAGAGACTGGCCTGCTACAAGGAGTTGCCCGTTTTAACCAGATTGTCGATGTGCGCGGGGCAGAAACTCGCCAATGTAACCCTGCTCACAAGTGCCACCTGGTGGTTGTTTTGGTCATTGCAACGTCACTGGGAGGGGGGAAAATAAAAGACGCGTGAATCACACGAGAATCACGTGTGATTCGTGTGAAAGGCGACAAAACGGAATGGGACCTACTGTAGGAAAAATCTCTTAAAGCTCTGCATGTTCTGCAGGCTCTGAAAGTTGCAACAATAGAAATAGCTCATGAGACAATTGTAATTGGACATGGAAAAATATAACAAAGTTAAAATTACAGGCCTCCTGTGTTGTCTATATGTTTGTGTGTGTTATATGTTTGTGTGTGTTATATGTTTGTGTATGTTATATGTTTGTGCGTCATGTCAAGTACACTACGTTGACCTTAACAAACTCTGGACCAATATACTAACGTGGGGAGTCGGCCTGTGTTGTGAGTGTGTTGTGAGTGTGGAGTGAACGAGGAGTGCTGAACGGAATCATGGAATAACAAATGTTTTCTGTAATGTTTTAATGTGATCATGGAATAATTATTTTTTGTCAACAGCACACGGTGTAAGTACTAGAGATTCAAAGATAACAAGCTTTATTGAACAGGTGTAAAAGTGAGAGTACTCTGGGATGAGTACTCTGAGAAAAGTACTCTGAGAAAAGTACTCTGCGGAAAGTACTCTGAGATGAATACCTTGCTGAAGGTACTGGGAGTCCCTCCCTCTGCTGTTTGTCCTGACAATGATTCGGTCCAACCGCAGTGAGCGGTCATTGGGCGGAGGACAACTTTGGTTTGTAACTCACATTTAGGGGAGTGTAAAATTAGAAACATACATATTGTTAAGTCTGTATTTGGCTACAGCCTCTGCCCTGATGTCACACACCGTCTGTCAATGCAGTTATGTTTTGCCCAATAGACCCCGTGCACTAGAAAATGCTAACTTCCGGGTTTGAGACCGGATGTACGTTCGCGCATTTCCGGTTGCGTTTGTTTGCTGCTAAGGATGGACTCCAAGAAACCCAGGATTTGTAACAGAAACGATGGCTTTACTTTTCAAAAAGCGCACGGTAGTAATAGACAACACTGTTGCGTGCCCTTGTGCACTGCTTCAGGCAGATTTAACAAACTGCTCAGTTTTCACAGCTTCCCGAAAGACCCGGATTTGCGTGCTCAATGGCTGGTGAAAATCAGAAGGGAAGGCTTCACTGTTCAGACGAGCTCAAGAGTGTGTAGTCGGCATTTTGAGACTGGAGAAATCTTCGTAGCTAAGTCAGGGAAACGGTGCCTTCAGCCGAAGTCAGTTCCATGTTTATTCCACTGGAATAATTATTTGAAAAAGACCCAGCGACCCGGAGTTTGGGAGCGCCGTCCACGTGTTTCCCAGACCGCGGCCGCAGCTGCAGAGGATGATGTCAACGCCAATGTGGACATAGTGACGGACGATGAGCCCTCCTCTGGTTGTATTGAGCTGGCTCCAGACTCTACCCCCATCATTGAGGACCACGACTATGCTGCAAGTTCATTCATTGTGGTGGACCGTATGAAATATGAAAACATGACGAGGGAGATTGAGGAGCTCAGGCAGCAGCTAGAGTCGCATCATTTGACTCATAGATTTGGACTGCAGCGGTTTGCCTCATCACCTGAAGACATTCGGTACTACACAAGGTAAGAGATTATGTGCACGTGTGTTAAGAATGTATATGTATAATGTATTCTCAGATTAACAGTTAAATGTGTGGATTGATTGATATTTGTGTTATTGAGCGTGGCTAGCTCCGTTAGCTTCTCTGCAGACAGTAGTGACGTAGCCCGTTGTGACAAAGTGTACGAACTACTGTCAGAGTAATCTTATCCTAAATTACAAGCAGAGACTGTGTTGCCAAATGGCAGCGGCCATTCTTGGTTTGCGAGGTCCTTTTTAAATAATAATTGGTAGAACGTTATTAAAATTACATTCAAATCAATGGAACGTTCTACTGCTGCTGTGAGAAACTGTATCATAAATTATGATTAAATATTTGAATAAATTTTAAATTTTTAATTGATAAACAAACGCGAACTTAGAATATGTTTGTGCAAAAGTCAAAGCCCTATAGGTCACTACATCATTACAACAAGATCCAAGAATTTATTTTACTTGCCATTTGCCGTAAAACCACATTATATGCTTGTTAAGGTTTTCTACTTTTAATCCATAGCCCTTAGCACATAATTATGTATGTTAAGAATATTCATTTTACTCATATTCCCATTAAATGGGCCTATAGACTCTTGTGCAGTCAAGAAAAACTAATAACATCAACTTTTTACATGCAGATTTCCATCATACGGACATTTGATGGCCTTTTGGAATCTAATAAAGAGGCAACAAGCAGAATGGTGAGGGTCACTAGTGGTCAGAAGAACCTTTCCGACAGCACATCCACCGAGACTCCTGTGACTCGAACAACTGTAAGTTCTCCCTAAAACTTCCTTCTCTATTGCTCTTGTTGTTTGTGCAGGTGCTACCTGTTTTCCTGCTTTCTGTCTCTCTTTCAGTTTTTTAATTATTTAATCAAATTCACTCACTAAATATCCACAATTTCTACACTACATCACACTGATTATTGTAATCCCCTTAGTTTGTGTATTGTAACTTTATTGTCATCTATTAATTTATGTTTATTTTTTGTTTTCCAGAAATTACTGCCAATTGACGAGTTATTCTTGTTCCTCAATTATCTGGCTACTGGATGTACACAAAGGGACCTGAGTCATAAATTTAATATCCACAGAGCTACAGTGAGTAGGATAATTGTGACATGGTCCAACTTTTTGTACAGTTTGCTTGGATCCATCTCCATCTGGATGACAGCTGAGAAAGTGAGCGCAACCTGCCCCACAGATTTTAATGGGACTTATAGAAACACGCAAGTAATTCTGGACTGTACTGAAATGAGGTGCCAAACACCCTCCTCCCTTCTGCTCCAGAGTGAGGTGTTTTCTACGTACAAGTCACACTGTACATTCAAGGCCCTTATTGGCATGTCCCCCCATGGAGCGTTGACATTTGTGTCAGCACTGTTTGAAGGCTCCATCAGCGACAAGGAGATTTTCCGTCACTCTGGCATTGCCTCCCTCCTAACACCAGAGATGGAGATTATGGTGGATAAAGGGTTTCTGGTTGAGGAGCTTGTGTCCGGGAAAGTCCATCGCCCAGCCTTTTTGTCCAAACAGGCTCAAATGTCTGAGGTGGATGTCCTTAGTACCCAGTCCATTGCACGTCTGAGGGTCCACGTAGAGAGGCTCATTAGGAGGGTTAAAGAGAACAAACTGTTTGACACTGTCATTCCTCTATCCATTTCAGGCAGTATCAACCAAATTTTCACTGTAGCATGTCTCCTGACAAATTATCAATACGGACCCCTGGTGAAAAAATGGATGGTTGATTAAAATGACAATTTAACAATAATACGACCCATTATTTTCATGTTTATTGTAATCAAAATGTAAATCTGTTTAATGTTAGGTATGGTGAAGTGTTCAGACTAGTTGTTTACCTTAATGTCTAATCTTTGTGTACTAATCAATTTTTTTTTTGTATTTGTTGAGCAATGAGATTGAGTTCAAAGAAATACCAGCAGTGCCTTGTGTTTGAAATCTAGCATTGTTTTAAAAGAATAATTTTTTCTGTATTGTATGTTAATATGAATATTTGCATCCTACATTTGACAGGGCAGTGACACCCTGATATGTATGCTATTAAAGTATGTTAAATATAATTTCTTCTGACATCTATGCTTTTTGCTTTCAGAATTGCAGTGAAAGTCTTTAGCATCTTTACACAATCTATTGCTGTCTGCATATAACACAAAACTGTAGACAATGCTGTTATAGTAGGACCGCTGTATTTGTAAAGCAACAGCAAATCACTTCCAATTTTTATACATGTTTATTTAAAAATGAAAAGGTGAGCTCCAAACAATTACAATAAAATGTATTCATGTATAGCCCTAAATCACAGTCATCTCAGAGACTTAACAAAACCATTAAACAAGTCAGAATCAACAATATAAAAAACACATTTAGGACAGTGCTATGTATTTGTCCATGTACACATGAAAATAGAACATGTCTATCTTTCGCTTCATGGTCTCCATCACACTCTCATCTCTTTGTATTCTTTGTATGAACACATCTTCTTGAGTGGAGACAACAAAATCGCACCAACTCATTCCTGAAGTAAGCAGCTGGCCCTGAACTTGCCAATAGTAGGCATGTGTGGATTTAAGCTGCAGAGTCCCACTGATGTTTTTAAGGTAAGGTGCGTCGACATAATTTTTTATGTTGGGACATTTTATTTCTAATAGGCCAAATTGAGGTATCTCTAAGGGGTCAAAAATGACTCCATCTGGTGATGCACCAATCCATGGTGCATCTGGGTGCACCACAAACCCACATTTGTAGTGGTTCACCCGCTTTATTCGAGTGTACTCCCAAATCGCATCCGCCTCTAACTCCAAGCCTCTCTTCATTGGGCCTGTCTGGTGAGTACCTTTTAAGATGCGTTCGGCCAGCAGCTCTTCAGAGGCCTTGCCCACAAAACATATCTCTCTGAAGCGGGATGCAGTCACCCGTGGCCTCCGTACATTATGCCAATCTATATTACAACTCTGCTCCCGTGTAGAACACTCAATTTTATGAGACATCTCTAGGCTAACCTCCAGACTTCTCATGTGCAGCTGTTGTTTCCTGGAACAGACAAATGTGCACTCTGATGGCTTCAGTCTGTAATCTTGCAGTGGTAATGGTGGAGAAGGTGGAGCATGATGGAGAGTCTGAGCTTTCTCTTTGGCTGGGTGCTGATAAGAAAGTGGACTTCCTTTCTGCACTTTGCCAAACAGTGACTCCACAAGTGGGACGTCGTCTGTTATTCCCATGCTGCAGATCATAGGTCGGTCAGCTTCAGGGAAAGTATGGTAAACTTCAGATACCCGAAGAACCGAAAGGTCAGGAAGTTCCCCATGAAGGCCTCTGTACAATTTGCTCCTGGTTGTTGACAAAGAAGAAAAAAAAAAACACAATTTAAATTTGTGTCACTTTAAAAAATAAAAATAAAAAAATAATCTAATGATACATCAAGCACTTACCGCACTCCCTCTGTGGTCTTTGTTTTTGGTTTGGCTGAGAGCACAGCCATCTTCTCAACAGGCCCAGGCTTAATCCCCTATTACAGTAGAAAATATATATGATACATAAAACATGTTTTATTTATGTTGATGTTATCATGTACATGTTGCTTGATCTGATGTGTGTCCCCTGCACTCTTATTGCGATTTGATGTATGAAATGCGGTTGAACTCACCATAACTCTAGGCTTATGCCATTGTTGTTCTCCTTCAGTGCAGCTTAACATCGGGGGGACAACTTGGAGTTTCAATTGAGAATAATGAGCAGATTGAAACAGAAGGGCAACACAGTGATTGCATAAAGCTTTTCCAGCCTTGCATGTGCATGCAAAGTGCAGCAGTTGCACAGGCTGCGAATCTGTTAGGACCACCTAAAAAGTACAAGATTTGTATTTAATGTTATGTAATCAAATAATATTCCTAGAACGTATTTTACATTAAAAAAATACATAATGATTATCCAACAAAACGCCTAGAACCTGTAACATCACAATTCATTATACAGAACCATTTCATACTGCTTCTTTCTGTAATCATACTCTGAGTTTGTGAGCTTTCTCGGATTTCCTCATCGACCTGAAGCACTCTGCCCTGACCACCACCTCTCCTGAGCCCTGATCTTTATCAGATACTGCCAAAAACAAGAATTTTAGTATGGTTAGTAATAGAATAACATGTTAGTATTCATTAGTATAGGAACTGTAACAGAAACAAAATGTATTAGGATTTATATAATATACAAATGTTATATAAATCCTAGAAGGACAGAACGTATAATGTAGCTTTAATGTAGGTTCAATGCTAAACAGACACAAATACATTGTATTATTGCTTAGCCTTTATATTAATAGTTAGGCCTGCATGTTCATTACATAATAAATATGTTAGCCCCTTGTTATTGAGATGCCTCACCAATATTATTTTTCAGATGTATTATTGTGGAATTGTAGCGCAGCTGGCAAAATACGACTGCATTGTTGTTAGCAACTATGCTAATTTTGCAAATAATGCTACGTTAACAATCTTGAGGGGCGGTTCTGCTAGTGATGTTGTTTCCAAATGGTGTTTTTGGTGTTATTGGCATGTAGTAGAGAGGTTCTTAGTTGACAAAATAGTTTGATAGTTTACTATGTTTGGAGTAACCTAGTTGCTGAAAATGCACTTGCTAACACAGTATATCTGCTCAGATATACTGAAGAAGAAACACCCTTTCTTCAGTATAGTTACATAATATTGCTACTTATAGTTAGAAATGCTGTGTTGTTGTCACTTACCTTCGAAATTATGCAAGTACTGGGAGATATAAAATTTAAATCCTTTTTCGCGTTTACTCTGAGGAGCAGGAGAAAAAGATTCTATAATGCGATGGACATCATTGATGGATATGTCTGGTAAATTTCCAAGTGACCTAGAAAAATTAAAATCTGCGTTTGCTTGAGCCATTTTAAACACCAAACAAGACCTTGAACTGAGACTCCCACCAAATTTAAACGCAGCGCCG